CCAGAGCTTAGGAAAAGCCCTATTTAACTTCCCCTATCATCATTCTGTGCTCCCCACCAATTCCTGGTGCCTAATTTTGCTTCCGTGCCCTTTGATTCTGGTGGGGTGATCTGATTAGGGAAGAACATGGACCCATTTCGGGGAGGGATGGACTCTTGGTCTGCTGGCCCTGGGTGTGTTTGGTTAAGGGACTGGGTGTCTCAGAGTGTGCTAACTCCAGTGTCCAAGCCTGCAAAGAAAGTACTAGGAGTGTCCCCCGTGCAGGTACAAGGTCCACCTGGAAATCTTTGGGTCCTGGTGCCCTGGAGGGCTTCTATCTCAAGGACATATGGCTTTAGAAAGTGGAGACCCCACCCTCAGAAAGGCCACCCTCAGAGGCTCCATCTGTATCATTTTCAAAAAACATTAGAGGGAGTTTGATATCTAGAGACTTTCAGAAAAGATACCAAGTTCCTGCTTTATTCAATCACTGCTCCAGCTGCACCAGTTCTCATCCCCACCTCCCTCTACAGAAGCTGGTGCTCTGGGCTGGCTGAGGCAGACAGAGAGTAAACATCACACCTGGGGCCCGCCCAGAGGGTTGAAAGCAAGACAGAGGCCAGCCACAGAGCAGTGCAGGGAAAGCCCCTTGTCCCCCAGCGGCACTAGAATGTCATATCGTAAACAAGGTCTGTGTTGCAATAGGCACCTCTGCATGGAGGTCGGAATGCAGAGCTGGAGCACAAGGCAGGAGGCAAAGAGCAGGAGGAGGCCAGTGTGGAAGCAAATGGAACTGGCCTGGAATCAGGAAACCGTGAAGAATAGGCTGGCAGAAGAGGCAGAACTGGTGGCTGAAGGCAGGGCAAAAGGGAGAAGTGGGGAGGGAGATGGGAGAAGCCACAGGACTGGCGCTGCTGGTCTCCGAAGCCACAGTGCAGGCAGCAGTTGGAGAGGTCAGAAGTCCAGGCACAGGGGCAGGCAGGTTAGTCAGCTGCACTGAGACTGCACAGTGAACTTCGAGCGAGCGGGGCTCCCAGCACACTCCCTGTTATTGCCCCTGGGTCTTCTGAGTGTGCCTGCCCCACCTTGCCCCTTGGACCAGGAGGCCCTGCCCCCCAAACTCAAATCCTCAAAAGAGAAAACTCCAGGACAGGGATCTCTCTCTTCAGACTCAAGTTCCCTGATGGCAGAGATGGCGCTGCCTCTCCCATCTAAGGTTCCCTGGGGACAGGGGCACTGGATGGTCAAGATCAAAAGTCACTGAGCACTTCACACACACTGCCTCATGAGACCCTCACAATACCGAGGGATGTGTTTCCCCACCTGACATAAAACCACCGAAGCTCACAGGGGAAGTAATTTGCATAGAATGTATCTGAAGCCTCAGCTGGTCACTCAGCAAACTTTATGGACCACTCCCTACACTTGGGACTGGGCTGCAGCTGAGAGAATGTCCCAGCTCTCAGGCAGTGTATAGCATTTTAGAAAGTGAAACAGAAAACCCAGGAAATGGACAAATAGGAAAGTTGAGCTAATGATCAAGAAAATACAAAGGTAATAGAGGCAAGTGTGTGTGGGTGCTACTCTGGATGGGGAAGTCAAAGGAGGTCCCAGAAGAGGCGACCACTTGTCCCGCAGACGTCAGGGAAAAGCTTGCCACTCAGAGAGAACACGGAGTACAGAAGCCCTGAAACTGGATGGAACTTCCTGCCCAGCGTCCATGCTGGGAAGTGTGGCTGGAGCTGAGTGCATGAGGGATAGGCAGGGGCCAGGTAACTCCACCCCGGTGAGCCTTGAGAAAGGGGGTGGGAAGTTATGAAGGGACAGAGGCGGGGAGATGGAGGTAGGGAGGCCAGGCAGGCATCTACTTTAGATATGATGCAATCTAGAGTGGGGGAGAGGAGAAGATGCAGTGGACCAGGGGTGTGAGGAAACACAGAGGTGGAGGATATGGGCCTGAATTGAGTGGGGAGGCCAGGTAGGGAGCAGAAATGAAGGTGAGGCAGATTTTGACCTTAAAACTCAAGCACTTTACCACTGACAGATCGTTTGTCTTTTTCTTCTTTGTCCCTCATTAACCAGGATGGTGGTGGGTTGATAGCAGATATTCAATCAACTGATTCATGTATTCAGTTAGTGTTTATTGAGTACCTACCAAATGCCTGGCTCTGTTCTAGGTACCAGTGAACAAGGTGAAGTCCTTGGCCTCTTAGAACTTACACTATAGAGGGAGAGGGGACATGTGTGTGTGTGTGTGTGTGTGTGTGTGTGATGATGATAAGGGGGAAAGGGAAAAGAGCATGGAGGGGGTTTCAGATGTGCTGGTCATGGTAGACTTCTCTGATAAGGTGACATCTGACCCCAGACCGCAAAGGAGTGAGTTGGTGAGTCTCAGATGTGAATGTCTTGAGCAAGTACATTTCAGGCAGAGGAAGCAGCAAGTAAGTACAAAGGCCCAGAGGTGGGCGAGTACTTGTTGACTGACAAGTAGATCTAGTCTTTATTGATTCATTAATCAGAAACTCTCTAAGAGCAACAAATAGGGCCTTCTCATCAGACAAGAGTGGTCGGAGGGGTGGGGTGGGGGCCACCTCCTCCCTTTCTTTATGTTGTTCCTCTTTCCCCAACCCTGGCCAGGTCTAGAAACAGGGGTGAGAGAGGGACAGGTATTGAATCTGTCACTCTGTCTGGAGAAAAGGCAGAGAACATCAAGGAATAGGGCAGGTTCTGTGCTGTCCCAGGAGCTACCACTCTCTCAATGGTGTTTGTTGTTTTAACTCCTTGGGGCCATTCCCTGTCATTTCACTGCCACCTCTGCCCCTGCATGACCCTCATGGCCCTGGGAATCCTCCTTTCCTCCAGATAGTCATTCCTGCAGAGTTATTTGCCTCTCTCGCTGTCTCACCAGGGGCTGGGGTACACTAAGGGAGTATGGGTGCTGCCACACCCCACCCTGCCGCAAACCCTGGGCAACATGAGGGTACCTAGGAGACTCCAGGATCCTGGAACGCAGAGGAGTAGCCCCTGTGACCAACTCATAGACTTGATTCCCGGTCCTCAGCACAAAATCCACCCCACTCCTAGCTGTGTCCCATATTTTCTTATGACCATAAAATGACTGGAACGGACAGCCACTTCCTCCTAATTATTCCTAAGTCATTAATGCTTCTCCAGTTATCTTGCTGACAAGACATGTTGCACTAAATTCCACTGATTGAAGACTTTCTGTTCTTACCAAGAAAGCAAACAAGCAACATATCCCCAACATGCCTGACCATAAACTGAAATCTTAGAAGGCCCAAGTTGGGCGTGGATTACCCAACCTGACAGTCCTTTCTGATTTTAATGCCAGGCACTCCCCTCCTGCTCACCTGAAACGCTGCCTGCCCCAGTAGCCCAGAAAGCATTCTAGGGCTCTGTAAAAGGACCCCCAAAGGACCAGGTCCTCCATTCCTGTGTCAGCCCCTTCTCCAGAGTCCAGGGCTATGGAGGGAAAACCTGGCTTCTGGACCCTTGACGGGGGAGAAAGCGGACAGGGTCCACCGAGGGAAGGCCCCACCAGAGAGGGGTTGACCTGGCTGGGCTTGGCCAGCTCCCCTTTGCCTTAGCTCAGTGATTCTCAAAGCAGGGCTCCCCCTCCCCCTCAACAGTAGCAGCACCTTGTTAGAAATACACAAGGTGAGGCATTGCCCCCCACACCCACTAGGTCAGAAATTCTGGGGTGGGGCCCAGCAGCCTGTGTTTTAACAAGCCCTCCAGATGATTCTGATGCAGAATTGTGGCAAGAAATCAGACCCAGACTGGTTCCGCCAGTTAAGTCCTGTCCTGGTTCTCCATTGGTTCCAATGGGAGGCTGAGGGCATGGCACTCACGTGGCTGGGCCTGAGGACTGGGTTTAAGGATTTTACAGGGTCTCTGGCAGGCATGGAATCCGATAAACATCTAACCGGGAGATGGACAGACAACTGTAACTTTCCCCCTTTTCCACATGGCTCTTGGGGGAAAAGAGAAATGCAGTTATTTTGACTGTCCTTGGGTAAAGTCACAGGGTAGCTGTCTGTCTGCCTGCCTGCCTGCCTGCCTGCCTGCCTGCCTGCGTGAAATAATTCAATTTAGCCCATCTAGTTAAGGACAAAGGGGACCTTGCTTTATGTAAGCAAACTACCCCCTCACCAACTCACTTCCTTACAACTGAGATGGGAGGTTTGGGTCTTACCTGGAAATTACTGCGGTTGGACCCACCTGCCTAGTTCCACCCCTTTTAGGTGTAGGGACTTTATGCGCTGCCTCCTGGAGAACCCAGCACCATCAAAAGTCGAAGAACAATGACTTTTGTTTTGTCATAGTTGCCTTTTTGATGGTCGCTGAGGAGGACACGAGGAGAGCGTGTTTGTACATCCCCCCTTTCGGGGAGAGAAAACTGACCCAAGGATTGCTCAGAAGTTTCCACTAAGTTCACCCTTGCCGAGGGCTTCGCAAGACCCCGACCTTTCACAAATATGATCTCATTATTAACCATGGCTCAGAGACGTAAACTAGCAGCCTAAGGTCACAGAGCGGGTGGTGAAGACAGCCGAGCCGGGGCGCGTGCCTCTTCTCTCTGGACCCTGCCGATGCTGGACTCAACAAGCTGGGGCTGGAACCGAATTCTCCGGCCCTTCCGCCGGCGCCGTCTGGCCCTCAAAGAACCTGCACCCCAGGCGAAGTCGTCTCGGAGGTTCGGTAGCGAGGGAGTGACTCCGGGCGTCAGCCGGGTCAGCCCTCCCCCTGGTGCCCGATCCTCCTCCCTCGGACCCGGAGTACCTTACCCCTAGGAGCCGGGTCCTCGCACCTTCCCCACGAGCCCGGCCCTTCCCCCGTGCCCGCCCTCCCCCTCTTTCCCCGGGGGCTCCTCCCGGCCGCCCTGCTGACTCAGCGTAAACCGAGCTGCGTACAGTGGCGAGACAGGCGGAGCCGGCCCCGGGGTTAATCCCTCCGCTTTGAATGCTGCCTCCCTTCCCCTGGTCCCGCCCGCCCGGCAGCCGCCCCGCTCCGCCCCCCCGGGAGAAGTCCCAAGACCGACGCCGGCGGCCGCAGCGGAGCGGCGGGAGGGAGCGAGGCGGGAGCGTGGCCGAGCCCCGGTGCAGCATGACTGCCATCACCGTGCAGGTAGCCCCGAGGCCCCCAGCGGGCCGAGGTCTGCCCCACCATGGGGGAAGGAAGGGGTTTCGCAGGAGAAGGAGAGCGATTTCCAGCCGCAGGCCTTGGCTGGGGTTCGGGAGGTGGGGGGGAGTGCCCGGCCGTGCTTGCACCCTGCTGTTAGCCTGGGGGCTCCGAGAACTGTGGGCAGGAAGCAACTTGGGGGCGTCCGCCCCCAACGGCGCTCCTGAGGCGCCGTGTGCTTCGGGTTCCGCTCGCTATCCTGCAAGCCCTCGAGGCTCCCAAACTTCTTTTTATGATTCTCTTTGGGGTCAGCAGTGCCCATCGGTTAGGTTCACCAGAGGTGTCCCTTCTTTTTAAAAAGGAGGTGCGTTTGGGGTGGAGGCTGGACAGAATACACTTGCAAAGTGAGGCTCGCCTTAATGTAACCTGAGGATGCGTCTCGGGGGGGCCAGAATTTTCTTGGGTGCGAGTAAGAGACCATCTCCCCTCCCCAAAACTGCGTTTGGGGTGCTGGGCCAGGGGATGGATTCTCTGGGGCGCGCGGACGCCTCGGAGAAAAGGCTCTAGTGAGGGAAGCAGCCCGCAATCCCTTAGTTTTGGTTTCTCCTTAGGGGTGGTGCAAGATATTTGTGTCGGCTGAGAACCCACCCATTCCTACCCGCTCTCCTCGGGCGTGCTGCTCACCCAGTGGAAGTCAGTGGGTGGCGGCACTACCCCGCGGGCTAGCTTCCTTTACGCGGAGGCATCCCACCAGCTCGCCTTCCCCAGAGTGCCGACTGGATTGTCCGGACGAGTAGAGAGGCTCCTTGACTTTGCACACAAGTGTTGAGACCCCCACAACACTGACTTGGGTAGATACTTCTGTGCCCATTTTATAGCTGTGGTAACTGAGGTTTGTAGGTGAAGTAACTTGTCCATGATACTTACGTCAGATAAGCTACAGAATCGAGATTCAAAATCAGAACTTGGCTCCAAATCTTACTCGATCTTTAGGCCTTTCCGGAACAGTAAAACCCCAGCCACAGGCTACCCACCCAAACCTCTTCTAGCCAGGACACAGCTGCTGGGGTGAGTTTGGGGGTGGGGAACGGGATGCGGCAAGTTCCTCCTCTTTGTTCTGGGGCAGAATTTTGAGTCATGACAAGGCAGCCTCCTGGGACAGGCCTTGGGAAGAAGGGGACAGGACAGCGAGGAGGATGGGACCGGGTGTGGTCTCTCCCCTTCAGGAGCTTACTGTCCAGTTGGGGAGAGCGGTTTGTAAACAAGGATTTAGAAGAGGTATGGGGAAGTGAGTGCTAAATTAAGAGGTGCAAAAAGTTAGGGGCGGGGCTAAGGGGGAGGTGATCTTTGTGCTGGGGTCGGAGGGCTAGGCAGACTGGAGCAAGGAAAGCCGAGTGGTTAGTGGAGGAAGAGGAGGAAGGAGGAGAAGGCCTGCTGGGGGAGATGAGGCAAAGCCCAGTGGCTCTACTCTGAGGTGAGGGCGCTGTGCTTGCGTGACAGTAGTCCCTGCTGCTTAGGAGCACTTAACCTTGGTGCCTGGGACTGTTCTAAGTACTTGGGGTGATAACTCATTTCAGCCCCACAATCACAGGCGGTAGGTCCCGTCCGTTATCGCCATTGATGATAGGTGAGGAAAGGGGAAAGAGAGGATAACTTGCCAGAGGTCAAACACAGCTAAAAAGCAGGCTGGCTGGCTCCTGGGACCGCACTGGGGTCATGCAGGCAGGCCAGCTCACTGCTCAAGGGATGGTGGCAGGCCAACTCTGTAGGAAGCTACTTAAGAAATTTCCTGCTAATGATGATGAAGGACTGACCTGGGCCAGAGCAGAGTGGGGAGTGAGTGGGAGGGGGGCAAATAGGGGGACTGTGTTGGGGATGTGGAGAATGAGTATGAGGAGCCAAAGTGCCTACTTGAGTATTAATGGGACAGATGGGGACCTGAGTTATAGATAAGACCTTGGCATGGGACTCAGTGGCCCAGGAGTGTCAAGTGACACTGTTCTATGGGTCACTAGAAATCATTTATTCTGGCTTACAGATAAAGAAAGGAAAACATTTGCTCTTTTTTAGCAGAGGAAGTCAAGGCCCTAAGAGATTAAAGTGACTTGCCCACAGTCATACAGTTGAAGGCTGGCAGTCAGGGGTAAGACTCAATTGCCTTTACCGCAGGCCATCCACTTACCATGCTGCTGCCCAGCTGCCCTCCAGGAAAGGATTTCAGGTTTTGGATCACTGAAAACTAGTGGAGGTGCCAGAAGCTGGGGTGTGGTGCCAGGTGGTTTGGAATAAAGACTCCAATATGCATTATTATTGTTACTAATACTATTAATAGCTCTGGTGAAGTGGAAGCTGTTCATATGCCTAGCAATTTTATATACATGATCTCATTTAATCCTTGGGAGTTTTATGGGTGGTCAGTTTAAACGAAGTCCTGTTTTGCAGCGGGAGAGGATAAAATGAAGTGACATCAGCTGTCTTTCTGATCTTGGATATCTGAGGACCTGGGGAGTAAAGTCCAGCCAGTGCTCAGGGACAGGTGGAGCTGACGAAGGGACAGGACGTGCCTGTTCTCCAGACAGCATGATATCTAGGGCCAGAAGGTTTCTGGGTCCTGTGTTATTAGGACTTGCTCTCTGTATCTGGGACTCTCCCATCCTAGGACCTTATCAACCTCTAGGGGTGTTGTAATTTCACCAGGTGCCTTTATGGCTACTGCTTTTCTGCAGGGGTGATCCATTTAATAGATGGGAGAACAGGGGCCAAAGGGGTTACGAAACCACCCAAGGGCAAGGGCCTTTAATGGTTTGTAGACACAGAGGTTTCAAAGTTTCCTTGGTTTTTTTTTTCTTAGCAGTAGAGCTGGTTTTTTAATGCTTTCCAATACAGATTCCTAGATTCCCACTGTCTCCAGCAGGTAACAGGGATCTGCTGTAGTGGGAGTGAGGAAGGGGCCTGGAGCTGGCCGTCTCAGCTTCCCTTACTCCTCTGCTTCAGCACCTGGAAGCCCCTCTAGGAAGCAAGGGGACAGTCTGAGAACCACAGCCCAGACTCCTGGCCAGGTGCTCTTTACAGCAGCACCCCAGGCTGCTTTTTTCTTAGGATCTGAGTTGGAGTCCTGACCCCTTGGTTATCCCTTTGTACTCTAATCCTTTTCCTCACCATTAATATTGAGCCCCTAACACCATGGCCCTCTACTTGGGAGGTCCTAGTCCGTGCTTACTGTCTGGATGCATCCTTCCCCCTCCCCCCCATCCCCCTAAAGAAGCTGATAGAACAGTCTGGTTAGCACATCTGGGAGAGGCTAAGCCAGACTGCAGGGCAAGGTGCAGACATCACTTTCAGTACAAAGGAAAACAAGTTAATAAAACAGAGGCCTGGACACTGTGGAAAGTGCAGAACCAGCTGGGTGGGAATCAGAGAAAACTGGACGTGTACTGGGGAAGTCCTAGGGAGAGAGGGAGACTCAACCATGTATTACGTTCCAGTGATTTTTTACAACCCTCACAACCTTCCAGGCAGTTTTCTTGTTTTGCTTACAAAGAAACCCAGGCAGCCTGCAAGGTCAAGGTCACACTAACCAGGCCAGATTTTCTGAATTCAGAAGGGACTAGGATTTGCTGGTCATTAGAATTTGGATTTCTTTTTTTTTAAAGATTTTATTGGGAAATTGGGGAAGGGGAACAGCATTGGGGAATCGGGGAAGGGAAACAGACAAGTTGTTGTCCTTTTGTTCTTCAGTCTAGTTGTGGAGGACGTCGCTTCATTGGCCCATGTTGGTATTATCATTGCACTCTTCCTGGGTGAGGCAGATCAGTCACCGGTCACTGAATGGCTGCTCATGGCGGCTCTTGGTAGCTCACGCTGGCTGCCGGCCACTCACGGTAGCTTACATCAGCCCACTGCAGCTCCACTGCAGCCTACGCCATTGCCAGTGACTTATGGCAGCCCAGCTCCAGGTCAAGCTGTTGTTCACCATCTTAGCTGTAGAAGGTGCAGCATCACTGGCCCTCATGTGGGATCCAAACCGGGGCCCTGGTGCTCAGAGCTGGCGTCCCAAGCCAACTCAACCAATGTGCCACTGGGCCGGTCCATGGATTTCTTACTCATTAAGAAGATCATTAAAGAAAGGTCAGGGAACTCTTCAGGCCTGATGAATAACTGGATAGTCAGTGCTTATAGGTGTTGAATGGAGGACAGGGAACAAGTAGAACGGGGGGGGGGGAAGGGCTCCCCAAGGAAGGTGCTGAAAGATAAGGAGGAGCTGGGAGGAAGCTGGGAGTAAAGGCGGCATTCCAGCTTCACTGGAGACGGCAGCAGAAAACATGGCTGTGGGAAGGTGGAAGGCATGTTTAGGGTCTTCCCTAAAGAGGGTAGATGGGGTGTGGCAGGGCCCTCTCTGACATGCAACCTCTGTGGTATCTTCCAGACCCAGAGGCTGCTGGGCCAAAGGAGGCCCCATCGGTCCTTCTCTGAATCCTTCATCCGAACCCTCATCATCGTGTGTGCTGCGCTGGCTGTGGTCCTCTCCTCTGTCTCCATCTGTGATGGCCACTGGCTCCTGGCTGAGGACCGCCTCTTTGGGCTGTGGCACTTCTGTACCACCTCCAACCAGACTGGGCCACATTGCCTCAGAGACCTGAGGCAAGCCCATGTGCCGGGGCTGGCAGTGGGCATGGTCCTGGTCCGCAGCGGGGGTGCCTTGGCCGTGGTGGTCGCCATTTTTGGCCTGGAGCTCCTCATGGTATCCCAGGTGTGTGAGGACCTCCACTCACGGCGCAAGTGGGTCCTGGGCTCCATCTTCCTCCTCATCTCATTCGTCCTATCCTCCATGGGCCTTTTGGCCTTTGTGATCCTCCTCCGGAATCAGGTCACGCTCATCGGCTTCACCCTGATGTTCTGGTGCCAGTTCACTGCCTCCTTCCTCTTTTTCTTGAACGCCACCAGTGGCCTTCACATCAACAGCATCACCCATCCCTGGGGCCAACCAAGGAAATTTTAGCCCCTCCCCAACTTCCCACCCCTCACCCCCAAGGATGTATGGTTCGACAAGAAAGTGTGGTCAAGATGGGACTTTTCCAACCTGTGACCTTTGGTGGGCATAACGGTGGGACAATGACCTTGAAACTGCTGCCTCTTGGCCAACAATCTGGGTGGTTGGCCAGAAACGACCCAGGGGCCTTTGCAGCTGGTCTGCAGGGCCAGAGGCCAGGAGGGTGCCTCAGTACAAGGAGCTGCGCAGGCTTAGCCATTATTAGGATGTAGAAGAACACATTTGAAAATGCTGTCTTGAATCCTTCCTGGACAGGAATAGATTTGGAAGCAGCTCTGGGGACTGGTACCTGCGCTAGCTGTACAGCCATGTGCTGTTCACACCTGTTTTATGGCTCTGTGCTGGGATATGAGCTGTGGGGTCTTTAGGGCCTGCTGGGGTTGCTAAGAGTGGATCTTTCTTCCAGCTAAGTGTGTCCAATCAGGGTCTAGGACTTCCACCCGCTCAAAGGGCCTGTCCGCACATTTCCCTGCTTTAGCTTTGGTCATGCCAGGGAGGCAAAGGTCAGGATTCTCTCAGAATTTCTTGCACATAGTAGGTTTTCAAACCATTTGACTTGATTCAATTCCTGGAACCCCATAATCCCTGGGTAACTCTAGCTTCCAGCAACTGGCTATCCCATCTTTGAGAAGAGTTATTGAGGAAGCCTTCCAGGAAGGTCCACCTGACTTCTAATGCACAGCCCTCCCTGAGATGAGTGTGCGTGTCCATCTTTGATGAGGATCAGATGGCCTTAGGGTACCATTTTTGATCCTAGAACACATTTCAAAGAGCACATGTCTGGATCTGTGGACCTGGGGTAATGATTAATAACCATCCTGGGGAAAAGTGCCGGTGAAGGGGACCAGGAATCAGTGATTTCCATCCTTGCCAGAAGATCAGGGTTTTTGTGCACTAACTTGCCCCATTTCCAGTCCCTTTTTTTCTCTCAGCCCATTTCATTCTATACTAGCCCCTTCCTGCTCCCCCACCTGATGAATTCGGGTCTTCCCTGATTCATTCTGGCTGCCACTGATTGCATGAGTTTTTGGTCTCTGCCCTGCTCTTGTCACAGCAGGCCCCCACTTCTGAGCTGGGCTGGGTGCCTATACCTACCTCTTGTGATTTTTTAAAAAACTTCTATTCCAAAACGCAGAGTCTGTGGACATGGCTTGAGAAAGGTGTTGTGGACCAATTGGTGTTTTGGAGAGCAGAGCTCATCAACCATATAGACTGGGTTCTTAGCCCTGGAAGTGGGTACCCGGCCTTCTCACCAGGAGCAGTCTGCAAGGGGCAAAGGGTGACCTTGTCTCTGCAGGGGAGAGGTGCAGCGGTAGGGAGCTAGGGCCTAGAGAAGGATAGTACTTGTCCAGGGTCACCCAAAACCAGGACTAGACCTGGGCCCGCCCAACAGCAAGATGCTTTATGCTGGGGGAGGAATTCTCCACTCTGACCAGATTTCATTCCCCTGAGCACTGGAAGGTTTTGTTTTGTAAAAGGGTTCAAATATTGAATCCTCTTTATTCCTTACAAGGCTGGCAGGGAGGGAATGTTACGATTTAAGGGAACTGAGACCCAGAGAGGAAAGGGTGAGATTAAAATCCCCAATGGGGCAGGGAGACAGGCCCTGTAAAATACAACCTCGGAACATGGGGATTTGAGACCAAAAGCCCCGGATTGGACTTTGCCACTCCTTTGTCCGGTAGCTTTGGCAAGTCACAGGACCTTGGTGAGCCTGTTTCCCTTCTGTCAAATGAGATCATGCCCCATCCCCTGCTGTACCTGCCTTGGGGGCTGTGAATAATTGAGAGCGGTAAGAACAGAGGGACACCTCAGACCCCACTACAGTTACTAAAGGATGAGCTGGGGGTCCTGGGGCTCTCCTGGCCTCCACTGGGACTTGAACAGCGGTTCTCAACCTTTCATAGGGGTCGCCTAAGACCATCGGAAAACACATATTTTCGATGGTCTTAGGAACCGAGACACCGCTCTTCTATCCGTCTCCAGGCCCACATGCAAATACGCCCACATACGAGTGCCCGGCGACCCCTGTGAAAGGGTCGTTCGACCCCCAAAGGGGTCGCGACCCACAGGCTGAGAACCGCTGCTCTAGGATGAGAGCTACTTGACAGGTGAGGAGCGCGGAGGTTCCATCTAGGGCCAAGAGCCTCCATTTCTCATGTTTTCTGAGATTCTAAGCTTGTCCCTGAAAACTGGAGCGGGGATCAGAGAAGCCCCTTCTACAGAAAGGGGTAGGGGAGTGGGCTAGAGCATCCTCCCTCACCTATGTCTGAAAGGCAAAAAGACTGACAAACACTGAGACCAACTCTCATCCCAGCTACCATTCATTTCCCTGCTCCCTTCTGGGCCCCCTGAACTGCTCTTCCCAGAAGAACACAACAGACCTAAATCCCAGGCCCCCACTACCCATGGTGCTCCAAGTCCCATCTGTTCAGTTCTGAGTTTTCACTGCACCCCCACCCCAAGGTCTGGAGGAGGGGTGTTGTTTATCATAGGAGAAAGCATACAGTGTCTGCCGGGAAGACAGACTGTCCTGCAACAGTGTCCTGCCCTCTCAGGACCTGGCTTGGCCTCTGTCCGTGGCCCTGCTCCAGCCTCTCAGATGACGCTGGCCCTGCAGGTGCCCCGGCTCGGCTCCGAGGGGCTGACCGAGGTGCCATGGGTGAGGCCGCTGGTGCCGTTGCTGAAGGAGGAGCTGAGGGCCACGGGGCGCAGTGGGAGCTCGTGGAGGTGCCACTGCCGCCACTTCTTCTGAACCTCCAGCTGTACCTGGCCCCAGAAATCAGCCATTATCCCAAGAGGGAAGAACAAAAAGGACCTGGTGCCCAGAGTCCTGCTCACCACCCCTCCCCCCCCCCCCCCGGACTCCGCATGAGCCCTGTCACTCTTGCCCAGCGGTCATGCCTTCCCCTCTCCTGCTGGCCACCCAGATTGACTGATTCCAGCCTGATGTCCAGTAGGAATTGGGAGCCCTCTCCTCTGGGCATGAATCACCCACAATCTCACTACTGTGTCGGGAAGAAGGGGCTTGCGGTTGTTTTAAAAACTCCAGAATTCTAACCTCCAGATTGACACATTGCCATGAAGCCACCCTAGCTTAGAATTCATCTGGGAGCCAGGGAGCTGGTGTTGGTCAATTTCCCTCACAATCCCCAGCTATAGCTGCAAAACCTTTGAGGCTAGGCTTGAGGACTGATTTTTGGAAGTCATCAGAAGCTGTTCCCATTCACCATTCATGTGTGGTGAACCAGATAGATGGTCAGCAGTCTCAGAAAGGCATTACTTGTGTGCAATGCTGTGTTCAGCTAATGATTGCCCAGCTTCTGTGTGCCAGGAACCTTGTGTCCTGACCCAAATGCTCTGGACAATGGCAGAGGCCTCAAGGTAAGTGTGCAGACCCCCAAAGAGTCATTTGGGGATCTCTGAGGGTTGAGTTGGCAGACATGTTATCTGAGTCATTCATTATACAGATGGGAAGACTGAGGCCCAGAGAAGGGCAGTGACCGAGGTCACCTGTCCAAGCAGCAGAGCAGTCAGGAGCCTGGGTTCTGGTTGGGGAGCCTACACTTTCCTCCATTTCCTGAACTTCCCAAGGATAAGAATCACCTGGAGCACGTGTTATAAAACATTTGCAGGCTCCAATCCAGACCATTTTTGCTGAATTAGAAACGAGGGAGGGAGGGGCCCAGCAATCGTTTTATCAAGCTCTCTCCATGTGGTTCTGTTGCTCCGTTGAAGTGAGCTCAGACTCCTAGAAGATGCCCAAGCCAACAGGCCCCAGCCTCTCCTCCCCCTCCCCACCTCCCATGCCCCTTCCCAGGTAGCTCCCTCAGCCAGCATCCAGCGGCGGCGAGGGAGCTTATCCAGGCAACCCAAGCACACTCACCTCCCCGTTGAGGAAGCAGTAGAGGATTGCCACCACCAGGCCCTGCAGAGGCAGCAGAGGCAGCAGGGGTTAGCGTAGATACTCCTGCGCCAGCCTCCCTCTCAGTTCTTTAATCACCAGATCCAGGCTCACTCACCCACCACAGGAAGTATAGCAGAGCCTTCCCACACCTCAGAGGGGGTTGGGCTACCTCTTCTGAGCCCCACACAGTGTCCCCGGGCTGTGCTGGCATCAGACAGCTCCTTGGGGTAAGAACAGGGTCCCATTCATGTGTTCCCAGTGTCTAGCGTTGACCTTGCATGCACGTGGTGTCAGTAACATTAAAGGCTGCTAACTCAGGCCATGGGGAAGGCAAGTCACCTGAATTAGTAAGGTGGGGCCACTGGGAGAAGTAGGGAGTCGAGCCAGCCCACTCCAGGAGGATGGGTTGGGGCCAGCCCATGTGAGCCCCTGAACCCTAAGTGGGTTCATTTTCAAGATAAGCTGGAACTCTGGGATGTTTAAACATGGACAACTATTCATACTGGAAAATAGAAGTGTGAATGTGTGGTCAGAACAATATGTGCAGGTCCTGGCCTCCCTGCTTATTGGACAGGTGAATGCATCTCCCTGGTCAGGGGCCTCGGGGCTATTTTGATTTGTGTTCCTGGCATGGTGGGCGTCTGTGCTTATCAGGACACTCCCTCATTGGTATCTCCTGTTTTCCTCATGGTGCCCTCTGGGATCCTGGCATGGATCAGGGTAGGAATTACAGTCTGGGATGCAGAATTTGAGCCTAAGAGGCCTGCACGGAACCATGAGCTGTGAGCAGGGTCTCTGCAGTGCAAATACCCTGCTTACCTACTCAGGGACGCACCTTGGACCAGCCTGCTCTTCCTTATAGGCCCTAGCCTCAGGCTACCCCAGTTGGTGAGCACCTCACCCCTCAGAGGCCTGGGGGCCACAGCTTGGACCTCAGGTAGCCTGACCCTTTTCCCTAGTCCCATCCAGGCCTGCCCTTAACTACTACATTGGAAAGGACCCCAAAGAGCAATGAGCCAGCTTGTCTATGGTGGGCTTAATATGTATGACTGCTCAGGGGTATTGGCATTTAACAAGACTCAGTGACAAAACTATTGGGCTGTCAGAAAAGTCATGACGTATTTTTTCTGTTTTTCGTTGCAAAAATGCATCATGACTTTTCCGACAGCCCAATAAAATGGCTGAATTGAAGCATAGCTTGGCCTGCATAATTGTGGGCTTCTGGGTTCCAGGTGCTTCATTTAATCCTTACCAAAGCCCCAGGAGGATCCCCTTCACAGGTGAGGGAACTGTCACAAGGGTTTGGGCAGGACAGGAGCTGTTTGTGCTTGGTCCAGAGCTGCCAGCCAAGGTTGTTGCCTGTGTCATGGCCCAGGATTGCCTGGGCCTCAAGGATCCAGGGACACATTTTCACTGTTCAGGTGAGGACAGGAGCCCTGAGTGAGGGAAAGGTAGACGTGCCCCAGGTATAGCTAGGAAAGGCCTCACAGCCAGCAACTTGAAGAAACTCCACAGTTTTTATACAATCATTAAAAATGAAGCATTTAAAGAATTTTAGTGACATGGAGAAATGTTCACAGTGGGCATGATAGGGAATTAAACAAGCAGGATATAGAACCATACGCGACCCCTGTTACATGTGTGGGCACTCTGTGTCTTCCTGGATAGAAACGAGACTTAGAAGTAAACACACCAACATCTTAACAGAAGCGATTCCTGGATTATGAGATTAATGGGTGAATTTTTAAACTTTTCCTTATTTCCCAAATTTCCTTCAATAAGCTAGTATTTCTATAACCAGAAAGAGCTAAAAACTTTAGTTTTTAAAATATGTGCCGTGATAATGGTATGTGGCCCTGTGTGTGTTCTTCATTAAGCCCATCTTAGAAATACTAAAATAGTTACATGTGAAAGAAAATGATGTCTTGATCGACCTAAAATGGTGGTGGATGGGGTGGAGGGAGCTGATGGGGATGGAGATGAAACAGGAGAGGCCATTGGGAATGGCTACTTGGGTTCACTAGACCATTCGCTTTTGTATGTGGGAGAAATTTTCCATAATACAAATTTAAAGTATATATTATATAATAAATGTATAACATCGTAAAATGATATGTCTATGAACAAAGGCCTTTTTTTTTTAAAAACACTCTTAAATGTCCTTTTTTTGGTAAACATTTCTGTGGGAACATTAGGAAAGTGCTTTTGGTTTTCTCTCAACAAGCCGTTTCCCCAGAGAAGCCAAATGGCCTTGGCAGGGGTAGTCCACCGCCCCAACCGCAAGCCCCTGCTCCAGAGGACCGGAAGTCCCCATCCACACACGGAGGCAGACCTGGGTGTCCATGGTCTCAAAGAGGTCACTATCCACTTTGTCAGCTGGGTCAAAGCCTTCTGCCCCTCTGGACCTGGAACCCCCACCTGCTAAAAGGGCCACCGTGAGCCCTGTTTCCCCACACGTTACAAGGGCAGTGGGCACAAAAGCTCCCAGGCCCAGAGAAAAAGAATCCTGGATTGCACAAGAGGCTGGGTTTTCTGGAGGTCTGAGGGGCTCTGGGCAGAAGAGAGGCTCAGAGGAGGGCAGAGGGGACAGCCCTGGTGGATCTGAAGGCATGGGTCAGAGCAAGACTTGACTCCACTCAATAAGGTGTTCCCAAGTGATGTGTCTTCCCTGGAACCTGAGAGTGACAGAATGCCCCTGGCCATGCCCACCCTGAACAGAACTCTGGGAATGAGGGAGGCTCTGAGCCCCCACCCTGAGGCTGAGGCCAGCCTGGTGAGGTGGACTCTGCAAGATGATCAACCTTGTTGAGGGCAGGCTGGCTTCTTTAGAAAAACCCACTGGGAAAAATTTATCTCAGGCCCCAAAGCCTGTCTATAATCACAAGGCTTTCCCTGGGAACTAGCTTGTTTTCATCCATGGATATTGCAAATCTTGAAACAGACTGTGTTTCTGTCTTTGCTTTGGCTGTGGGGAAGCTCTAATCAAATTCATGACCCACGTCTCCCACCTTTATAGGACTTGATCAAATTTGCTTCTGTGTATGAACTCTTTTGGCTTGATTTTCTTTTTTCACTGATCCCTCATCTACTTATTATTTCTCTGTATATTTTTCCTGAAAGCGACATCACTTTATTTTTGGAAGGAGACAGCTTTGAGTAAATAAATAACCTTGTGAAGTTTGGGATTCATGTTAAGAGGCCCTTCTGTCTAAACATCTTTACTATTTTTTTTTTTAACCTCACAACATCTTGTTGAATAAGTAGGTAGGTGACTTTTCCCCTAACTTTTTTTCTTTTCTTTTAAGTTGGTTTTTATTTTTAATAAGTTGTGTATGCACACAGTTTCAAAGAGTCAAATGATTCTTGTCACACACACACACAAAAATAACCTCCTCTGACACCCGCCACCCCCATTTCCTGTTCCTTAGAGGCAACTATTTGGAACTTTCTTAACTGATTCTAAATAACATGCTGATGCTGCTACTTCTGGATTTTTCTGTTTGGGGCATTTTTATGGACTTCCCAGTATGAACATGAGACTATTATTCTTTTAAACACCCTCCCATCCCACTCCCACAATGCTCATCTTCCTGCCCCACTTTTTGATGGCTCAGCCATAGCCCTGTTGAGAGCTGTACAATAGCGTGTAGGGTTACTTTTATTTTTTGTTTTCCCTGAAGTCAGTCTCTCCTTAGATTTATCTTCTACTTCCATTTGTCTGGGGGGGGGGGAGGCAGAACTTGGGTTCCTTCAAGGTCACACAGGACAGTGAAGTCCTGCCCCTGCTTCTCTTGTGTCTCTGCCAAATGAGGCGTCTGCCTTCCCAAACCACACTGCAGAACTCTTCCGGGAAGATGTGACTTGCTATCTCTATGGCCTCCATGTTTCTCCAAGGAAAGAGAGAACTCTTTTCACCGTAAGTCATAGTCCCTGAAACTTACCTGGAATGAGCCAAGGGCCAATTCAAAAAACAGCTGGATCTCCATGGCATCATCCGGAGAGAAGGCGAAGACGATATAGTGGACTCCAAAGAGAGGGATCAGCAGAAGGGTGGACTTGGCCAGGCGCCTGGGAATAGAGAAATGCTGCAGTCTTTTGCCCCCTCCCCTACCCATGGGCTCAGGGCTCCACACACCCCATCTCTTGCCTGATTGCAGAAGGCTTTGCAGCAGTGTCCCCAAACTTTTCTGTTCTTACTTTTTATTTTGGAAATATTCCCACGTACCCATCACCCAGATACAACACTTACCAATCCATGACCAGTCCCTATATTTTTCTGATCATGCACCCCTACCAGTAAAAAATATCTGAATATGGACCCACCTGAATAACTATTTATAAATTATGTACATATGTGACTGCCACTCTAGGTTTAACATATTATTAGCAAAGCCAGCATTCTTATTTGTTTAATAATAAGTAAGGAGATGTTCTTTCATTTTCTTCCCAGGTTAGCATTGCCAAACTTAGCAAATAAAAATACAGGATGCCCAGTTTAATTTGAATTTCAGATAAACAATAATTTTGTGTGTGTGTGTGTGTGTGTGTGTGTGTGTGTGTGTGTGTAGGGACAAAAAAACTATACATTGTTCATGCAAAATTCATATTGAACTGGGTATCCTCTATGTTATCTGGCAACTTTATCCTGGATGCCCGGCTTCACCCTACACTACCCTAAAGACATCCTGGGGAATCAGCCACCAAGTAACCCAGGCCGCTGCCAGATTCTCAAAATTCTGAACATCATGGAGGAGGCTTCTGTCGGGCACCAATTTGTCTTTAATATCTGTTATGGGCTGCATTGTGTCCCCACTCAAATTTGCAAGTTGAAGTCCTAAGCAGCAAGACCTCAGAAGGTGACTGTATTTGCAGATAGGGCCTATAAAGAAAGAGGTGATAAAGTTGAATTCATTAAGGTGGGGCCTTAGTCCAATCAACTGGTGTCCTAAGAGGAGGCACCCACCAGGGATGTATGCACAGAGAAAAGGCCATGTGAGGACACAGCCAGAAGAGGTCCGACTACAAGCTAAACATAGAGGCCTCGTGAGAAATCAATCCTGCCGACACCTTGATCTTGGACTTCCAGCCTCTAGAACTGTGAGAAAATTAATTTCTCTTGTTTAAGATACCCAGTGTGTGGTATTTTGTTACAGTGAACACATACAGCATCTCTCTTTAACATCTTAAAGGTTTTAAAGTATTTTTGGATCACACATCTTGAAAATCTGATGAAAGCTAAGGTTATTCTCCCCTGAAAAATACACATATCTACACAAATTTGTCTGAATTTGGGTCCCTGAAGCCCATTGCTGATTCACTAGCCTTGCCCCAGGGGTAAGCGCCTGCTTCCTAGGATCCTGCTGAGGTTTCTTATCTCCCCACCTCCAGGACAGTGTCTCAGGTTTCACAATGGACCCACTCCTCTCCCCCTTTTACAATGCGAACTGCTTGGAATTAGGTCCAGGTTTTCCCTTCTCCTCCATCTCCAATGGTGCCTAGCATCAGTTGGGTAAACAGTGGGTGCTCAGTAAATGTGTGCTGACTGAGTGTGTCTAGGTCTTTGCTTTTCACTTACTTATAATGGTTTGCTTCATTTCCTCTTGTTTCTTGGGTTCTAAGTTTTCTCATCAGGATTCTTAGAATGTTTATAAAAAGTATGAAATTAATCTGTAAAACACAAGGCAGACGGGAGGCTAAAGGTGACTTGCATTCCCTGCCATCTCTCCTGGCCCTGGCCCTGCCCCTGGACCTGAGGGCAGAGAAGGAAGGCATGGCAGACAACACCCAGGATGCCCCCAGGATGGCACATCAGTGCTTCCCCACCCCACCCCACCGCTTGTCCTTGGTAAAACAAACTGTCTGGAAGCCAGGGAGGCACAGCACCCTTTCTAGCCCTGGGCTGCAGGAGCTGTAAATTAGCTCACTTGCAGCAGGGTTACTCACCCTTGGAGTGTTGGAATCCCCTGGGGATCTTGTTAAAATGCAGGCCTGTGTGGGCCTGAGATTCTGCATTTCTAGCCAGCTCTGGGGAATGCCCAGCTCCAGGGAGGTCCTTGGACTACACTTTGAGTAGCAAGGCTTTACAGAGAGGTTCTTAAAGTTTAGGGTACAGATTGCTGGGTGCCCTCCCCACAGTGGTTACAGGTCAGTAAACCTGGGGTGGGAAATTTGCATTTTTCAACAAGCTCCCAGGTGATGCTGAAGCTGCTGGTCTAGGGACCACACTTTGAGAACAGCGTCAGAGCCTTATAGAGTCACTTGGCAGCTCAACCACCAGCTCCAGGAAGCCATCCTTGATTACCTCCCTTTCCTAATTCATTGTAGTTAGGAATGATGTCACTGTGTAAGAACACTTGAAATATTTGAAAGGGGCAAATGCATGCATCTGTCAAACACGTGTGTTTGTCCCCTCATCTGCCAATATCATATCTCCCTAAAGGGACAGGAACGGAGTCTCTTTATTTCTTTTGATGCCCCCTCCCCCAACCTCAGTGCCTGAACCTTAGGAAGTTGCCCTCATGGCAGCACCTCTCCCCCCCTTTTCCCCACTGGCTTCAGCACCGTGTTCAGAAGCAAGGATTAGTGGCATCACCCAGCTGGGCGCCCTCATTGTTCATATAAATAGCCTGGGGCCTGGAGACACTTGCCAAAGACATGGCCTGTCTAGGACTCCCAGCCCAGTGTTGCTTCTTTGGGAACACAGCTTCTCAGTTTGTTATGAATCTTACTCTGAGCTGGCTCTGCATGGGGTAAACTGATAAAGGCTTTTTTTTTTTCTATTTTATTTTTTGTCTTACAGTTGTATTTAGTTCAATAGGGAGAGCTTGAAGGTGAAAGAAAAAAAACTCTTAAGAGCCCAAGAATGAGTCTTATATAATGGAATGCTAGGCCCCGTGACAGAGATATTTTACATCAAGAGCGCCCACCCAACATCCGTCAATCGCAATAGACCACAGTCCCATGAAATCAGCCTGGACGTTGGGGCTGGTCGTCCCTCAGCTGGGGGTTTCCTGGGCTGGGCTGTCAGAGTCTTAGAATTACAGAAAGGAAACTGGCTTAAATGAATGAGAAAAATATCCTCCTGTGGGAATGCAGCGATAGCGCATTGGTTGGTCAAATAACTTCAAATGACACGGGAGAGCTCACATCTATTGCTATGTGTAAAAAGAAAAACCAAACAAACAAAAATATGGATACAAAACCATATTAAGCATTTCGAAAAAAAAAAAAGAAGTATATGTGCTCAAAGAAAAAGATAGGAAACAAAAAAGCGCGTGTGTATTTACAATGTATATCTAGTGCTAAATAGTGACTTATGGGTGATTTTATTCCCTTTTTATAAATATATTTTATATCTTCCAGTTTTTTACATGAGTTCTATTATTTTTGAAGAAGGAAAAGGAGAACAAGGTGGTCATGTGATGGCCACCTCCTCCCAACTGGACCCAGGAGGTCACCCAGTCAGCTAGTGGAAGAGGAGGGACCTGCTGCCCTATCCTGCGTCCTCTCTCCCCACTCCAGCGAGGCCATGGAGGGCATTTTCTGTCAACTTATCCTTCAGCCTTGGCATCCCCCTGAGCCCTATGCACAGCTGAGGGGCTGATTCTGTCCATGAGAGAACCCCACTGTGTTGCCCATGTGTCTTTCTTTCTCTGCCCCCACATTCTTATCGATACCCTCAGGCTCAGCAGAAGCACCTGGGAACATAAAGCTAAGACATGTGCCCAGGTCCAAAACTGTAGCCTCACTCAGCTTTTCCCAGCTATACCTACCCTCTCCCTCTGTGATCCCAGCTCAGTGATTCTTCCCAGTTTAACAAGAGGATGCCTAAAAAATGATCAAGACCCCAAATATCTAAGCCAATGAAGGTAGAATTGAGGCCAGCCATTTAGAGCAAGGAGCTCTGCTCACCGCCACGTTCAGTGGCTACTCATGGAAAAGAACTCATGTAAGCTCTCACCTTCTGCCTGCCCCTCACCCCACTCCCACCCACCATTCTCTAGGTAGGGAGCTTCTGGCCTCACATGCTGCTGGTCAGTCTCTGGAAGCTCTGAGGTTTATCCTTCCCAAACCTGGAGGGAGGGGCGCTAGTCCTGTCTCCTCTGTCCCTACTGGCCGGTCACTGTGCAGTCTCGCTCACTGGAGCCCAGCTCAAGGAAGGACAGCCACTTACCAGGATGGACAGGGTCACAGGCCCTCGAATGACCCACCAGACAGACTCATTGGCGTTGATGTCCCAGCACCTATGGAGGGACAGCCAGGCATCGTTAGGAGTGCGGTGCTGGGCTGACCAGAAAAGACTCATTCCCTGAGATGCCCTTCATACGAAGGACCCGTGTTTGTGGTCCTGAGCGTTGTGGCTGTGTGCTCAGCATCATTAGAACGGACTCCCTCTTGCTACCCAGGAGCACTGCTGGGGCTGAGGGAGCAGCGCCCTGTCTCCACGTACATCCAGTGAGCGTCAGGGAGCACATGTGGGTGGAACCTGGTAGCCAAAAGATCCCAGATCTCAAAGCTAGCAAAGTGGCAAACTCAAGTGCCCACAGCAGCCAGGCAGGTGACATCAGGGAGCAAAGTGGCTGGGTGCCTGACATATGACCTCAGGACTCCAGGGCCATGACATGTGGGTGGTACGTGGCAAACTGGAGAGCATATGTGTCTGTTCTAAGGCAGCCATAACTCTGCTCCCACTGATTTTTGCCATAGGAGAAAATGGGAAATCCTGGCAGAACTTTTAATTGTTTTCTAGAGAAGCTGAAAAAAATCCAGATTTTTTTTTTTAAAGTGAATTCACCCAGTTTAAGAAATTATTTTGAAACAATTATTTTGACCGTAAGCCTCATCCAACCTAGTCCATTTCCTGGCCTGGTTGTGTCACTATGCAAATGTTCTGCCTCCTGCTCTGTCATACCGCCTCACTTCCTCCATGGTTTCTTTCAAGTTTTGTTTCCAAGAGCCTACTTCCAGAAGGCCCCCTGGGCTCACTCTGTCCACAGCCTTCACATATTTAGAGAACAAGACTAGATCTATTTGTCCCCAGCAGGAGTTGTTGAGGGTGCAGGTGCCACTCCCCAGGCCTGTCTCTACTCTGCAGGCCTCTCTAACACCCAGGTGCAGGGAGAAGCGGAGGAGGGAGATCTCAGGAGGAAGGAAAGGCTGGTTTGACCCTTAGAGCTTCCTCTCTGAGCAGCACCTGCCCGGAATTTCGCAGCTCTCGTCTGGCACCTGACCTAACCAGAGCGGCTAGGGCAGGCAAGAAGGGAGAGAGGCCTGAGAGGGTGCAGGTGTGGTGCCCCTCTGCAAACTCACACCCCGAGAGAGGTGGGCACTCAGCAGCCTGGCACTCCAGGGAACTCTCCTGTGGCTCCCAGTTTGAGAAACAGGCCTCTCCTAGATAGAGCCAAAGAAGTAGCCATCCTGTTTGAAGAACTGGGTAAATATAAAATACACTCTTGTCCCTCTCCTTCCAGCAACTTACCCAGCATCTTCCACAAAGTGCCTGGTGACAGCCCACGAAGCAACAACAATGGCTGGGGAACCTGAGGATCAAAAAATAAGGAAAAGGGCAAAAGACAGAGGACTCAATTTTCAATACCCATGTGAGGAAAAGGACAATCAGATACCCCAACCCAGATAGGGAGCAGGTGCCACGGAAACCCCCTTTTAAATAAACCCTGCGTGTAGGATTTAAGCATGTGTAGCTTTGTGCTTCAAAGGTGCCAGGGATGTCCTCGGAGCTGAGGCAGCATCAGATGAATCCTGAAGGCCACTAGGGGCTTGGGGTCTCCTAGGGCCCTGGGCAAGACTCGGGAGGACATCTGCAGAGAAGAGAGGGGATGAAGTGATGGTCTACACTCGTGCTGTCCAGGCCAGTGGCCATTTGCCACATGTGGCTATTGAGTGCTTGGTATGTGGCTGGTCCCAATGGAGGTGTGCTGTAAATACAAGGCAGGTACCAGGTTTTGAAGATTTAGTATGACTAAAAGAATGTAAAATATGTTATTAACAATTTTTTATATTAATGATATGTTGAAATGATAATATTTTGGTTATATTGGATTAAATAAAACATATTCTTGGACTTAAGTTCTCCTGTTTCTTTTTACTGTGTTTACTGGGGCTACTAGAAAATTTAAGTTCCCTATGTGGCTCAGACTCTATTTCTAAAGGGCATGCTCATCTCTATGCTGAATGATAAAAGCCCCATCTCTGGGCTGCTCAGTTCTCAGACCTCTAGCAGCCACATTTCTACGCTTGCTCCAGCCGTCCACCCTCCACCCCAGGGAGGAGACTAAAGGATTCTTCTCTGGAGGAACCAAACAGCCCCAGACAAAGGGCCTATAGATAGCAATGCTGGGGACTCCCCAACACAGTGGCCATTTCCCAGCCCGGTCTCCCTTGAGACACATGACCCCCACACACAGGACCTTCAGTCAGTTCTGAAGTGACATGCTTAAATATGAACAGTCAAGGCCACTGCCATCAGAGGAAAGCTGATTACATAAAAGGCAAGGACCAAAACAATCGGGAAAAGGAACTCAGAGGAAACAGATCATACAGCCTGCAGGAGGAGCTTGAACAAAACAACTCCAAGGAATATCATCAGAGAGATAAAAGATTATATCTGCAAGACACAAACAGGATGCTGAAAAACAGGGAGTCTTCAGAGAACAAGGAAGAAGACTTAGAAGTTTACTATAAGATAACCAAGATAAAAAAAAATTCCACAGATGGGATGGAATTACCCAGAAAGCAGGACACAGAGAGTAGAATAAAAAGTCAGAATAAAGAATGAGAAAACTAGAGGTCAATCCCAGGATGTGCACTATCTGATTAAAAGTTTCATAAAGAGGAAAAAAACCTAGGAGGAGGGGGGAAATGATCAAATAGATAATATAAGAATATTGTCCAAGAAATGAAGGATGTGAATTTCCAAATGAAAGGGCCACCAGATGCCAGCAAAAAGGATGAAAACAGACTTGCTTGGGAACACATCCCTATGGCATTTTAAAACCCAGGGGACAGAGAAGGCTCTGCAGCTTATATATAGAGACATGAGTAAAAAGGCTCTAGAAACAGAATGACATGGCATGTCCCATAACACCAGATGCCAAAACAGAAAGCCTTGAAAATATTGGGGTAAAATGATTTTTCAACCTAATTTCTATGTCTAGCAAAACTACAAATTAAGTGTGAAAATTGAACAAAGGTATTTTCAGATATGCAATGCAAAAAATGTATCTTCCATGCACTGTTTCTTAGATACTGGATGATGTGCTCCAACACTAGTGAGTAAAACAAAGAGAGAGAGAGACAAGAAATAAAGGAATAAGATTTGTGAAAGAAAAGAAAGGAAATTCTTTGCATGAAGATTAAGGGAGTTGAGCAAGTCTAGAGAACAATCAGACCAGGAGAACAGGAGAGCCAGCCGAAGGCTCTAGAAAGAACATCGGTGGGGCGGCTGGTTAGCTCAGTTGGTTAGAGCACAGTGCTCATAACACCAAGGTTGCGGGTTCGATCCCCACATAGGCCACTGAGTTGCGCCCTCCACAACTAGATTGAAACAACTACTTGACGTGGAGCTGATGGGTCCTGGAAAAACACACTGTTCCCCAATATAAAAAAAGAACATTGGTGAAGTTAAAAAGAAACAACAACCCACAATGGAGTCACTGTTGCTAAGCCCCACCAAGACTTAACTCCGAACCCAGCTGCAATTTCAACCTCTCCCAGGAGTTGAGTTTTAAACCAGTCAGTCTATAATTCCCTGGTCAGCACCAGTGAGGTAATCTGCCTGATAAGACCCCCCTGCCTTCCCCAAAGGGAAGGTGAGCTTGCCTGAAATAATCTATTCTTTTAACTTTCTTGTCCACCCTCTTTCTGCCTATAAAACCTTCCATTTGAATCACTTAATAAAGACAAATAGATCTTCAGATTTACTCCATGGAATTTTGTTTTTTAACAGTGAGTATATTTGGTTGAATAGTATGCCCCTAGAATTCATATCTACCCGGAACCTTGGAATGTGACCTTATTTGGAAATAGGGTCTTTGCAGGTGTAATTAAAATAAGGTCATACTTATAAGAATGGCAGTCATATCGGGACCTAATCCAATATGACTGGCATCCTTACAAAAAGGCCATGAGAAACACAGACGGGGCATAGAGAGAAGAAGGCCACGTAAAGAAAGAGGCAGAAACTGGGGTGATGCAGCTACAAGCCAAAGAATGCCAAGGATTGCCAACAGCCACCAGAAGCTAGGAGAGAGGCATGGAATGTATTGTCCCTCAGAGATCACAGGAGGAATCAACTCTGCAGAAACCTTGGTTTTGCACTTCTGGCCTCCAGAACGGAGAGAATACATTTCTGTTGTTCTAAGCCACCAAGTTTGTGCCAATTTGTTACAACAGCCCTAGGAAACTAATATAGCAGGAAAAAACCCCCAACGAATAGCAACTAATAGATTTCGTATTGTATTGGACACTTTGGAAAATAGCATTGGAGGGTTTTTTGGTTCTGTTGGAGAATTTGGGAGAACTAATGACAGCAATGTGAAACAAGTAAGTAAAATTTAAATTTACAAATAAGTAAATTTTAAATTATAAATAAGTATTTTTAAATGATTCCATGAAAAATAAAAGATGAAATGTTGGAAAATCACTGTTCACCACTTGGCTCGTTAATAAACAATATTTACATAGCGATAATGACTGTTTGAATATGATTTAACCAAAAACTGTGAAAAACTCTAATGGGAGGATGGAGGTGATGGATGACTTCCATCATCAGGAGTCAACAAATAATGCTACAAATGGACAAATCAAGAAATAGTAGAATATTGTTTAGAAACATTAGAGTACATTTTAGGAGGAACAGCTACAGAGTTACCTCTGGGGAGCAGAAGTGGAGGCAGGAGGTCTCTTTTTTTATTTTAAGCCTTATAATCCTATTTGATTCTTGAAACAAAGTACATGCATGATTTGATAAAAATAACAATTAAAAAAAATTCCCTGCCTCAATTTTGGGGGCTCTGGGTAAAGAACATGGATTCTGAAGGCCACCATGTTCATTGTCTGACATCTTTAACAGAGAGCTGGTGGGAAAGTGAAAGAGTGGTAATAGCACGAGTCAGGGTTCTCAGTGTGGTCCCTGGACCGGTAATATCAGGATCACTTGGGGTCTTGTTAGAAATGGGGAGTCTCAGGCTCCACCCCTGGCCGACTCACTCAGAGACTCTGGAGTGGGGCCCAGCCAGCTGGGTTTGACACTGTGGAGGAGGAAGAAATTTTACTCTACTCTTCTTTATTCTTCCGGCTGGTCTAATAATCAAATCAACATAAGACAGATTCACAAGAGAAAATATCAAAATTAATTATATACTTACAGAAACCCCGCACACATGAAAGAGTCAGAGACACCACATACATGAGGTGTCACCCTTTCTGGGCACAGGCTGATGCCCTAGCCTAGTTGGAAAAGCTTTGAACAAGTATTAAAAACCTTAAAAGTACTCATTCCTTTTGACCTAGTGATCCCTATCTAGGATTCTGTATTACACCTACAATAAGTTTTTGCCCATAAAAGTATTCATCACTATGATACTTGTAATAGTGAAAATTAGAAACAACTTAAATGTCTAAATAATAAGTATTTGTTTAAATGTACCCACAAAGTAGTTAAAAACGTTTATGGAAGAGTTGTGTGTTAATAGAAAGAAGCAAGATTCAAAATTCCGCATACAGAATTACCACAACAATGTGGGGAAAACTGTGAGTAGGAAAAAAAGTCTGGACAGAAACCCCAAAAAATGTTCAATAGATGGGACTAGGGTAATTTTTTTTCTACTTAAAAAAAATTTTTGGCGAAGTTTTACAGTGGACCCAATAGTTAAGCAACATATCTCTGTGGAAACAAGTTTAAGTACAAATTGAGGAGAAGTTACTGCTTTTGCAGGAGAAAGGCTTCTCACAGTTGGAGACCTTTGGACTTTCCTGAGCCCCCTCATAGTCTCTCTGGCGCTGTGTAGACAAAGGGGCCCGGAGGGAAGGAACCACTGCTGTTTCATGGACTGTTCTCTCCCTGAGGCCTGTGTGTAGTAGATGCTCAATAAATATTTGCGAAAGAAAGGAAGGCTCTCGCTATCTCATTTAAACCTCCTAAAAACCTGTGACAGATATCACAATTTTGTCTCCCTGCTAGATGACAAACCCTTCAAGTGATGGAACTGGTTGTTTTCGTAATCCTTATAAGCCCCTCTGAGTATAAAGTAGTGCTTGAAGAAAGTTGATTATGATCCTGATATAGATGATAAAATTGTCCATGTTCATAGAGCGAAATCCTGGAAGATCTGGGAGTCAAGGCTTAATGAGCTGAGCTCCAAGCTGGGTGACTTTTGGCAGAGTCAGCTGCATAAGGCAAGTCCCTGGTCCCCTGGCACTCTGAGTACTGGCCTTTGCAGAGCTCCAGAGATCTGCACAGTTGTACAGCTACTGCTAGCCTAGGGTCATGTGCTCATCAGGCTGCCCAAGGTCAGAAGCAGGAGGGCTCAGTGAGCTCTGCCAGGTCAGGTGACTTGGCTGAAGGTCTGATAAGGAGATAGTTTCCTTACACATAGGATTTAGACAAGCAGAAGAAGAGTGGAGGGCATTCCTGGCAGCGGCACTTCTTAACTAAAAGCCCCAAGAAGAAAGCAAATGAAGCTGATGCCTGGTACACATTACTGTCGCTGTAAGCCTGTGAGTCACCCCCAGGTACCTGGCTCTCTCTCCAGAACCCAGTGGGAGACTTGCATGGGTATGTTTATCAAATGAACAATTGATGAATGGGTGGTGGATGGATAGATGGGTAGATGGACAGATGAACTGATGGACAAATGGACAGATGGATGGATGGATAAATGGATGTTTGTTAATTGTGGAAGAGGAGGTAAGGGGCTTTGGAAGGAGGGTTGGTTCGAATCCTGTATCTCCCCTTGTCTATAGTGTGAGTTGAGTATATTATGTCACATCTTTGAGCCAAGGTTTCTCTGAGGGGGTTCTGAAGTTTGTTATGATGATTAAATAATGCATGTAAAGTGCTGAGCTCAATGTCTGGCACCTAGTAAGTGCTCAAGAAATGGAAGGTGATGTTATTCTCATTGACCAGAAAGGAAAAGGGAAAGAGACGTAATGGGACCTGCAGTTGGCTGTCCTCCTACCATTTCCCGTCTTTCTTAGAAACTGAATCCTGATTTCCTTTGGGAAGCCATGTGGTTTGAGTAGCTTCAGCCAGTCGGTGTATTCCATTCCCTCAGGCCTCTGTCATTGGTTCAGGGAGGTGTATGAGACTTAAGCTGGTCCAATCAGAGTAAACTTCAGATTTTTGCTGGGACACAGCCTGTCTCTCATAAGATGTAACAAGGAAGCCAGCAGCCCAGAAGCTGCCGGCAGTTACACTGGGCACACCAGCAGAAGGCAAAGTAGAAAGACAGAAAGAAACACTGAGCTGCTGGATTCAGCCTCATCTGAAGTTGGTGATCCCTGGACTTCTCAGTTATATGAGCCAATTCATTCCTTTTATGTTTAAAGCCTATCTAAGGCAGATTTTCTGACCCCTACAGTCAAAAGCACCCTAACTAATACAGAAAGGAAGCAAAAATAAGGACATATAAATGGAAGGTCTAAGACAGATGAGGCAACGAGTGTTGGGTGGTATTGAATCATAAAAGGCTTTGGATGCCAGAAAATAATGCTAAATTTTAGCTATTATTTCCCATTTGACAGATAAATAAACTGAGGCCAGAAGGTTAAACATCAAGTAACTTACCTAAGATTACACACGTTAACTGACTTTAAGTGTGGAGCTAGAACTAGAAACTAAATCTTTTGGACTTGGTGCCCTTCCCCACATACCACTCAGCCACCATCCCCACGGAGAAACATACCCCATCCGAGGACAACACATCCCTGCAGGCACTTCCTTTCTGAGAAGAAGGAGATGACGAGGAGTGTGTGCAGGTAGAGGCCTTCCACCAGCAGCCAGGCGTAGTTGGCCACAATGCAGTACTGGAAGAAGACCATGACCAGCTTACAGCCCACCTGGACAAAGAGAGGCAGGTGAGCCCCAGGATGGGCGACTGTGGGCTTCCATCTGGGGGCCAGCCCCAAAGGAAGTGACAGGCTGTGGTAGGGGTCAGGAGCCAGGCCACAGGGTGAGCCTTTGGGGCTCATGGCCATCCCTGTGGACTTCCAATACCAGAAGACTAGGTCACAGAGTTCTCTGGAAAGTGGAAGTTCACAATCCAGCAGGCTCGGTCAGGATGGTTAGTGGGCCATTACAGAAGCAGGAACTGCATTCAAATTCAGGAAGTGGCTGCCAGTTATAACATTGTGTCAGATATTGCCCAACTCCCAGCTCCCTCATTTTTCAGATGAGGAAACTGAGGCTTAGAGAGGAAAAGGGATATCTCAGCAAAGGGTTAAAAATCCTTTCCAGGCTGTTAACCCTGAAAAGAGATGAGGAAGGGACATACCAACTATGTTAGGTGGCAACGTTGATTATAGTAAAAATAGCTCTGATTGGTAAACTGCATCTGGACTGAAGACCTCTAAATGCCTGATGCAGATGCCACAGTGTTGGCCTTGCCAGGTGAGATGACTCTAATAACAGGCATGTCCCTTGCAGGCATCCCTGGAAGCTATGCCTGTGGGATTGTAGGGCTTCTACATAGCTCCCATACTTGCCCCATGAGGGTCCTCTTTCCTTTCACTGAGCTGTCCCCTGGGGAAAGGATAGCTGCTGGGATGGCCTGAGGGCTGCTGCATGGACTGCTATGCGGTCACATCCACAGAGGAGGGGTGCCCACTGCTACCTGCTGGCCAGCTGTGGTTCCCACCCTCTGGCCTCCCCAAGACTCTGATTCCAGGCATGGTCCACGGCTGGCTTGCAAGACTGATGTTAATAGAATCCAAGAAGGTTCCCTGCTGGGCACTGCTGGACTTCTCCACCTCTAGTCAGTGAATTTCAGTCTCCTCACTCCCAGTCTGGAACTGTTACTTTATCCTGGAGATCTCCCTGAGATCTCCCTACTTTAGGGACCCCTCAGTTTGAGTCAGAAAACACACACACACACACACACACACACACACACACACACACACACACACCAAAAAAGCTATAAAACAATACACACTTAACAGACCTGTAAGGAATTACAGATGTGTGTAGTGGAAAGTGGCAGATAGTAAGTGGCTGAACCAATCTCAATTTCCAATCCTCTTCTCCCTCACTTGACCCTGTTTTTGGAGACTCTGATAATAAAAAACTCAATCTCCCAACTTCCTTTGCAGTTAGGTATGGTCACATGACCCAGGTCTCCCTAGTGAGAGGTAGGTAGGAATCTTAGGGAGGGTGTTCTTTCCCAAATGAAAAGGCAAAGACTTCCAAAGAGAAAAATGTTTAACCTTCTACTTTACTCCTTCTTGTCTGGAATGTGGATGTGAGGCCTGGGGTTGCAGCAGCCATACAGCAAACATGTGGTATAAAGCATGGGATCAAGAATGGCAGAGCAAAAAGAGGGAACAGGACTGTGTCCTTCATGGCATCACGGAGCCACTGTGCCACCCCTGGACTGCCCATCTGTGGACTGCTTTTGTGGCAAACAGCGCCCATCTGTTTAAGCCCCTGACGTACAATTTTTTGTTATGTGCAGGAAAAGGGGTTCCCAAATGACACAAAGTAATATTGAAATGAATTAAGACTCACCTGAGCATTCAGAAGGAAGAAGACAGATTTAACAAAATGTGACAGTTTTATTGCAGAGCTGTGTGTGCAGACACAAAGACAGACGCTCACCCTTTTCTTTCTATAACCAACCACAACCCTCTCTAGACTTGGCCATCTGTCTGCAGCTGGGATTTGGCAAGAGTAAAGAAAAGAAGAGCCTTGCTGTGTATCTAAATCCCAGAGCGGCTAAGCCACTCCTGGACACTGGGAGTGGAGCAGCACCCCGCCATGGGCTTCCCAACAAACCGATCTCATATGTCACCCAGACTGGATGTGGGGACGTGGGGCTCTCCCTGAACCTCCTGGCCCAGCCCCAGTACTTGCTCCTTTACCCCAGACATTAAATGCAGCCTCAGCAGGGACTCCAGGGAAAAACACCCTCTCCAAAGTTAGGCCAGGGAAGACAGGCAGGCCTGGGGCAGGCAGGCACGTTACCCTGTGCGTATCACACTGGACGCCATCATCTGAGGAGAAGAGCACAGCATCTTTGATGAAGATGGATAGGGCACGCAGGATGAAGGACACAAACAGGTGCATGTGGATGTAGTTTCGGGTGCAGTGGAGCCTCCTGGAGGGAGAGAAAATGGGGCTATAGGTGCCAGAGATGGAAGGGGCAAGGGCTCAGCCACACCAGCCCCTCCCCCAGTGAACAGGGGAAACCCTGGCCCTGGACATCAGCTCTTTCCAGGGGACACAGCTCTCTATACCTCTCTGGTAGCAGAACCTAAATGAGAACCAAAGCCCCCAGGTGCCCAGTCCACTCTGTCTTGTGCTGTAATTAAAACATAAAAAGCATAGGGGCAGCATTGTAGTCTGCCCTGACCTACTCCCATCTCCAGCTCCCAGAAGTGTTCAGAACAGGTAGGGGGTGAGGGAGGGAGGCCGCCAGACTGGACGGGGGCAAGCAACACAGAAAGTACACAGGCTACAGGGAGAAATCAGATCCAGGCTCTGCCACTTATTAGTTATATCACCCTGAGCAAGCCTTTTCACCCCTCAGAGCCTAAATTTCCTCCTCTGCGATAGTGGACAGAAGTCTGTTACTTGCTCCCATTCTTCAGGTACCACAACCAGGGTTTCCTATTGGGGAACCCATTCCAGCTCTAGTTTGGTTTGACCCCATCCTCCCACCCTCATGACAGACCTGACCAATCAGAGCTCTCCATCCCTGGCCACAGTGATTGGCTCAGGGTCAGGCACGTGACCCAAGCCAGGCCTAAGAGAACTCCCCCAGGACTTTCATTGCAACTAATGGGGAAGAGGCTTTCTTTGCTCTGATGCTGCTGGTCTGGTAGAATGCACCCCTGCAGCTGCTGGTGGCTGTCTCTGTCCCCTCTGCAGAAAGCCTACCTGAGGATGAGGCCAATGGCAGAGCAGACAAATGGAGGGAGACAGAACTAGTTCTGTTGACACCTTTGAGCACCTAGATCCAGCCATGCCTAAAGCCAGATGCCTCTGAACTTCTCAATTATGTGAGTTAGCTTATCTTTGTTTTTCCTAAGCTGTTTGAAGGTGGATTTCTGTTTCTTGCAATGAAGAGTCTGGCTAACACACCTGTAAAATGGGAGTAATGATACCTACCTCATAGCACTGTGTGAAAATTGGAGATGACACATGTAAAGCAGTAAGTTTAGTAATGCTCAGTAAATGTTGAATGCATTAAAGAATGAACAAGGTCACAGGAATTTCAGTCACAGAAACTTTTGTCACAGGTAAGCTTTAGATCAAGGGGTAACAAAGTGGTCCACCCAGACCTTCCTCCTCTGTCCTGAACAGGTAAAAGAGATGCCAAGTCTGTGTCCTGGGAAGGCTGGGAAGATGAAGAGCTGGCAGCATGTTCTCACCGGAAAGCACAGAGGATGCTGAGGGCAACCAGGAGCATCACCAGGGAGGAGCTATAGCCCACCGTATACATGACCTTCAGCTTCAGGAGGTACTTGTGCTGCAGAGAGAGGCATGTGTCAGTCCCACCTGCCCACCTGGCTGGCTCTGAGTGTACCTGCTTAAGGCTGCTTGAAGCCCTTCAACGGGGACTGCTATGCTGGTCATATCCCCAGGACACCAATTCATAGACTTGTAACATCTTGGCTTTGGAAAAAATCATCTGATGCCAATTCAAACTTCTATCCCATGCATAAGGCCTCTTATGTCAACCTGAATTCAAGGCTTTATTTGATTACCTCCAGGGACAAGGAAGTCATTTAGTATGAAACAGTGCAAAATATTAGATAATTTTTTTTCTCATGTAAAGCTAAAATGTTACCTTTTAAATTACACTTATGGGTCCTTTTTGTTTCTGGAGCCACTTAACCTGAATTTGTCTTGTACCTAAGGCCTGTCTTTATTTTTAAAATGAACTTTTCATTTTAGAATAGTTGGAGACTTACAGGAAAGTTTCAAAGATCTTACAGAGAGGCCTATCATTCTTTAATACAGCCATTCCACCCATCCGTACCTCACTTATCTTCTCAGCATTAAACATTCCCTGTGTCTTTAATCTCTTTCCACAAACTTTCACCATTTTGCTCAATTAATACGTTCCAGTAAAAAAGACACCTAGAACTGGATAGCTGAAAAGCTCGAGATATCCTCTGACCAAGGAGAAGTAGAAGGGGGCCATCACCTCCCCTGATCTACACGCTGCACTCCTATTTATGCAGCCGAGCAGGCATTTACTTGTTCAGCAGCCACTTCACACTACTGGCTCATCTTCGATTTAAAAAGATCTCAGTGGAATAGAATAATGTGCCATATAGAGATAAATGTGAAGACCTGCATTTAGGTTCAAAAAATAAACTGTAGAACAGTCTTTGAAAGAATTTAAGTTTAAAAATTAAATTGTATAACAGTTTCAACAAGAATCAAGGAGATAAAAATGAAAATAATAATGGTACACCATTTTTTATCAACCAGATTAACAAATATTTGAAACTAATAATATTCTATGCAGGTGAGGGTATAGTGGAAGTAAAAATTGGTTTAATCTCTCTGGAAAGTTACATGTATCAAGAATATTTAAAATAGACATTCCTTTTAACCTCCTTTTTACCTCTAGGAATTAATGCTAAGAAATAATCATAAATCTAGAAGCATATTTATATGTAAAGATGTTTATCTCAGAACTATTTGTGATGAAAAACACTAAAGTGTCCAACAATAGAAAAATAGTTAACTAAATTATTTTAAATCAAGCCAGTTTAATGTTATGTCGCTATTAAAATGTTGTTTACCAAGAGTTTTAAAAGATGTCAGGACATGCTAAGAATGTAATGGTAAGTGAAAAGAATACAAATTTCACAAGTACAGGGTGATTCCCACTATAGGTAAAAAAAGTGTTAGGTTGAACTATATGAAATCGCCCTTATTTGTAGATAAAAAATGATTGAATATGGGCCATTTCATGTGGTTTAGTCTCATACATGCATAGAAACAAGACTGTGAACAAGATTATTATATAGATGTTAATACTGATTAACTTTGAATGATAAGTTTGTGGATAAGAGTTGTTCTTTTCATTTTCATTTTTCTAAACTTTTCATTTTTCTACAGTGGGTAAGTACTACTTTATAACCAGAAGAAAAGGGTAACTAATTTAAAAAGAAAACAGTCACAGGAATAGTATTGGGGAAGCCTGGCTGACAGCTGTTCATATGAAAAATGACCTTGAGATTAGAATGCCAAAGCTTCATGGTTTTAAGGAAGTGTACTACAGAAAAAGAACACAGTCTTTAGAGCCAAAAGGTGAGGGTTCCAATCCCAGGACTGTTACTCACCAGCTGTGTGATCTTGGGCAAATTACTTAACTTCTCTGAGTCTCAGATACCTCATCTGCAAAATGGGGATAATATCTACCTTGCAGGCTTGTTGGAAGAACAAATAAGGCATCAAGCAGAGTATTTAGACAATGCCAGGCACTTGGATGACACTCAGTGCATGCTAATTTTTCCCCACCCCCATCCTCCATTCCCATCACCCACCCTCCAACATGAGTCAGCCATACGAGATTGCTGTGTAAGGTTATGGTAAGAAGTATGAGGTGTGAGGTAGCTGCTAGCAAAATTAGGCCTACTCTCAGTTACATGAATGGAGAGCTGTGGAGCAGCCAGCCATGTTGGGATGATTGGAGTGTTTGATTCAGTCCTGGGCGGTTTATTTATTTATTTATTTATTTATTATTATTTTTTTAGCTGAGCAATCCTGCCACCTGTTGGCAGTTCAGTGGCAGCTCAGCTCAGGCCAGGAATCAAATCTGCGACCCTGTTGCTCAGAGCTCGCACTCTTGAGGGAGCTCTTAAACAACTGAGCCACTCGGTTGGCCCTCTGGGCATCTTATTTTAAGAGGCACATTAGTAAACTGGAGCATTTCCAGAGGAGAGTGATTGTGTCATCTGAAGAGTGCATGAACTGGAGGGAAAAAAACAAACACACTCAGGGAAGGAAAGTATTAGAACGATTGACATGTAGAAGAAGAGTAAGATTAATATGTGAGCTCCAGTGGGAGAAAGTTACCAGAAAGGAGATTTGACTCAGAGTGACCAAAAATTTCTGACAGCAAAAGGTGACCTTTGACAAGATGGCGGCTGTGTGATATTAAGCTTCCCCACTGATGTGACTAACAATCCCAGAAGCCAGAAGCCACCTCACAGGGAAAAGAGGGAGGACCAAAAGGGCAGGAGGTTGCATTAGATTAATGGTTCCTAGACTTTGGGACATCAGAGAGCAGTGAAATGTCAAAATATTGGAGGGCAAACATGTCAACCATGTTGAGGACGAGTTCCATAGCTGAGGGTGTTGGACTCACTTCCAGGGACGCCTGGCTTTGCAGCCTTCATTTCAGGAGCAGTTTGGGCCAGCCTTTGGCAGCATGAGGAGGCACAGACGGTAAGTATGGAGTGTTCAGGCTGAATAGTCTGTACTGTCCGGTGGCTGGGGTTGTTGATTGTCAAGTGACCCTCAGGTACCTGGGCCAGCTCTCATGCAGACCTGGTCCTGCTTTGTGTCTTTAAGGTCTGATCCAGAGAGAGCCCTGTTCCCAGGAGGGCTGATGCGACCTCAGTGCCCCAGTCCTTGACATGTGCAACTGTATGCCACCCTCCAGAGGGCTTGGGGTCCAGAAGTCTTATTGCTGTCTGTCTTGGATCAAGTTACCTATCTCTCTGCTGTGTATCCTGACTGGGCCACCTTCCTTCCATATCCTCTAGATCAAAGTCACCAGACATTTTCCATAAAGGGACAAATAATAAATATTTTAGGTTTTGGGTGCCAGACGATCTCTTTTGTAACTACAAAGCAAATGAGTATGGCTGTCTTTCAATAAAACTTTATTTGCAAAAGCAAGTGGTGGGCCACATTTGGCCCAAAGCCCAATCTCTGCTCTAGATATGCAAAGTCCATTTTATTTATTTAAGGGGCAGCTCTGCCTGTTCTTTCCACCAATCTGACTCTATTACTGGCATTTGTCAATCATAGAGTGGTGTGTGCCAAGTAATGCAGTTGAAAGAAAATCAACAAATGTACTTTCACCATCATTTGATTAAAAGAAAAAAAAGTCATTTCAACAATAAGAAACAGAATGATTTAAATATCACTAAAAAACAAGGTTTGTGCCAGTTTGTGGACCAGCATTTAGGGACCAGTGAATCATATGGTCTGCAATCCTTCCAATCTTAGGGACTTTTAAATTTTTTTATGTGAGCTGAAGCCAAGGTAGGTCTCCTTTCCACTATTTTTGGACAATTAACTCTCTGACTTAAGTCCAAATTTTGCATTTATCTTTGTCAAGTTTCAGCTCCTTGTTTTGGGATTGTACAGTCTCGATCCTGCCATGAATATCACGGTTAGGGCCCTGGCTCATTCTTTTCCAGATGATTAGGCTAAACCAAAAGTTCTCATGTGTGGTTTTGATAGATACATAATAACTCACTAAAACAAAAGCTTTTTGGGGTCCTCCATAATTCTTAAAAGTGTAAAAGGGTCTCAAAGCTAACAAGTTTGAGAACTGCTGGTATAAGCCAATCACATACCCCAGCCCTCCGCCAGGGATGGTCCAGGGGTGGGCAGGCTCCAGTCACGTAGGGCCAATGAGATGCCTGGACAGGCTGGCTTGCTGGGGGTTTAGGTAAAGAAGCGTCCTCGCTCCTAGGAAGGCGCTGCAGGAAGTCGGGCTCTCCTTCCTGGACATGCAGACATGGGGCAGTCTGTGGTGCAGTCAACAATGGCAGGAGAGTCGCCAGCCTTGGGAAGAAGCGACCAGGGTAGCAGAGAGACAGAAAGAAGCTGGTCCTTGGTGGAGCTTTGCAGTGTTGCTTCATCCAGGAGTCCTGGCATAGTTCTCCGCACCCGCAAGTCCATGAACCACCTTTGCTCATTAAGTCAGTTGGAATTTGTTATGTGCAGCCCAAAGTATCCTTTTGAACCTCCATCATGCCATGCATCATAAGAATGTTCCCTTTTAATTTTATGGAGTTTAAAGGTGTGATACGCATAAGCCCCCTGTCTCCATATAAGTCAATGATAGCAGTGGTAATCTGCAGAGGTCAGAGCCCACCCACCATCCCTCCAAGACCATACATATTCCACTGATCAATTCTTGTTGAGTCTCATTATTAAATTATCCCGTTCTGGCCAGATCTGAAGACCTCACGTGTTTTCCCCAACAGGAAGGCAAGCCCTGGGAGGGAAGAAACTCCATCCTCCATATCGATCCCTCAATTAGACTCCTTCATGTAGAGCAAGACTGATTGGCTAGAGAGAGAGGAGTCTTAAAAAAAATTAAGAAGCGGATGTGGTCTGCCTCCCAGCTTCATTCTTTCTCCCTTAATTCTGCTGCTTGCCCCTCCGTGCTTCTCTAACATGACCCTACATCACCCTCTAAGAAAGATGAAAGCTTATCCATCATATTTCCACTGGGGAGTTTAGCTCACGGAACTGCTAAAAGTGCATCTCCCGAGGGGCACCCACCTTCATGGGGCAGAGCAAGGAGATAGATGGGGAGCATTGGCTCTTTTTGGAGCTACGCTTGGTTTGAATCCTGCCTCCACAACTATCTTTTTTCCCCCTGGACTTCCCTGCCTCTAGATTTATTGAGATATAATAACATACATCACTGTACAAGTTTAAGGTGTATGTCATAATGATTTGACTTACATACATTGTGAAATGGTACCACAGGAAGTTTAGTTAACACCCATCATCTCATATAGAAACAAAAAAAAACAAAAAATGTTTTTTCCTTGTGATGAGAACTGTTAGGACTTAACTCTCTTAACAACTTTCATATATACCACACGGCAGCATTAACTATTGTCATCATGTTGTACATTACATCCTCAGTACTTACCTAATAACTTAAAGTTTGTAATTTTGGACCACCTTCATCCAATTCCCCATCCCCCACCCAGCCTCTGGTAACCACAAATCTGATCTCTTTTACCATGAGTTTGTTTTTTTTGTTTTGGGTTTCTTTGTTTTGTTTTTTTTAGATTCCACATATAAGTGAGATGATACTGTATTTGTCCTTCTCTGTCTGACTTATTTCATTTAGCATAAGGCTCTTGAGGTCCATCCATGTTGCTGCAAATGGCAGGATTTTCCTCTTTTTTATGGCTGAGTAATATTCCATTGTGTATATGTACCACAATTTCTTTATCCATTCATCTATCGATGGACACCTAGGCTGTTTCCACGCTTCGGCTATTGCTAGTAATGCTGCCGTGAACATGGAGGTGCAGATACCTCTTTAACATCTGCCTCTAAGCATTTTCCTTAACCCCTGTGAGCCTCAGTTTCCTAATCTGCAAAATGGAGAAAATAATGAATTTACATGAATCTTTTTGAGGATTTAATGGAATTGTGCATTAAGCAGCTAGCATATTGTAGATGCTCAGTACAACAAATATTTACTGGGCACCTTAGAGGTGCCAGGCATTGTGCTAGGCACTGGGGGCCTGAGAATGAATAAGATTGTTTTCGGTGAGTCACTGCTGTGTCTCCATGCTTAGACCCATACCTCCTCCATAGTAGATGCTCAATAAAGGTTTATTGAGTGAATTAATGCCTTCAAGGAGCTCATATTTTAGTGAGAGAGATGGATGCACAATGCACATGCTGATGATTTAATATAATATGGTAGGTAACAGCTGGACGCCAACACAGTGTATGTACATATTAAGGGAGCCCTTCCTGGGATGACAGGAAGAAAAACTTTCTGGTACTAAGGGCTGGAGTGGAGTTTTGAAGGATATGTACAAATCAGTCAGGAAAAGCGAGGAGGGAAGGGTTCTCTGAAACTGGTGGCGACTTCACAGAGGACCTCTGGAGGCACCCGAGGAAGTTCAGCCCATGGCTTACAGTGTCCCCTTTCAAACCAGGACTGCCCTGTGGCAGAGCTCTCTCCTTCCTATCAGAGCTTGAGACTTCTTTGAGCACAAACATTTATTGAGTGCTTCCTATGGCCAGGCACCCTTCTCAGTACTTCCATGGATTAAGTCATTTAGCTCTCTTGACAAGCCTGTGAGGTCAGAACTATTATTAACCCCATTTCCCTGATGAAGAAACTGAGGCATAGAGAAGTGAATTCCTCCTCCATCTCACCAAGGTCACAGGTCAGGGTTGAGACTCACCAGTCTGGTTCTGAGCATTTAGCCACCGCGTCACTTCTCTTTTGGTTTCATGACTAAGTGACCCCCAGTTTCATGGCGGCAGATGGCAGTTCTCATTGTGCCATGGTTTACACGACCACCATCTCCGATGATGGACCAGGGCAGTGAAGCAGGCCCACTGAACCCCGGTTGATGAGCAGGGGAGGGGTGGGTGGGAGGGGCAGCCCCCAGGTCACCTGCTCTTGGCCCTGGGCTGGCTCCATTCTCTCTTCTCCCAGGGCCCAATCCGAGGAGGGAGAGGAGCTGACAGGCTTACCCGCTTCTCGCTGGCCTCGTTGAATGAGTCATTCACATTAACCCCACAGGCCAGGTCAGGTCTGGGGAAGGTTTCTGACCAGCCGCCCTCTGTACAGTTTCGAAACATGGAACCTGTGGGTACCAAACATCCTGTGGGTGAGCGGTGGGTACAATGGACAGATAGCTGGGTCTCCTGGGTGCCCTTGGCCATACCTTAGGGGCAGCCTGGAGTTTCCTTCTGTCACTGTGTCCTCAGCTACCTTGCCTTGAACTACACAGTCAGCTCCCAAATGGCCCAGCTGATCTTTGAAGAATACGTAAGTCAGTCAGTCAGGAAAAGTGGTGGGAAAAGTATGTAGGCAGGTGGGCCTAGAGGGGGCAAAGACCTGGGCTGTGTGTGTGTGTGTGTGTGTGTGTGTGTGTGTGAGAGAGAGAGAGAGAGAGAGAGAGAGAGAGAGACAGAGA